GGGCTTAGGGCTTAGAGCTTGGGGTTTAGGGCTTTGGGGCTCCAGGAACACTCCCAGTTGCGATCTATCGAGAACTCGTATTTAGAGCCATCAATCGTTACGAAACTCCCTGGAATGTACACCAAAACTTATCAAACCCTATCAAACCCTAGACCCCCTCTACGGCGAATACATGACACAAAACACGTACGACTTCACAAAACAAGGTCCCACAATCCAGGACTTATCAAAACCCTGCAACACGACCACAGCACCCTGAAGCCTACAACCAACATCGAAACAGTCAAGCCCCAACAACTATGAAGCCGATCTGCGTCAACAACCGCCTCAACCCCAAAACCCCAAAACCCCAAACCTCTGCCCCCTTAGTGGACACCACAAAGCGCATGTCTACCAAGAGCCCCGCTCTGGCTTCCTTTCTCGCCCAACCTGGGAGGAGGCGGTCTCATCAAAACGAATCTTGGAGTTTAGCTTGTACTGCCTTTCGGGTTTTCTCTAAGATTTGCGGATTTCGGGTTTAAGTTCCGACATTGAACCCGAAGAGCCCCATGCCGCTGGTAAGAAACAAATCTGAAATGGTGGGTACCAAGCCCTGTCTACAAATGACAGCAATGGTCCATCTTTAAGGGGGACGAAGGCTTCAGCATTCCGCTCGAGCGGTAAGAATGGCAATCAACAGCAACAGCAGCAACAGCAACAGCCACAATAGCAGCAACACAGCAGCAACAATCACAACCTAAGTAGTTAACAAGCAGCGCTGGGCTCGTTTTGCGCCTCGGTGCGCTTGGAGGGCGCTTGGAGAGTGACTGCGCGTAAGGAACCCAGTGCATACTACAGCCTTCCAAGAATGCATGGGGGTCTACTTGGAGGTTCATGGGTAGTTATAAGTGGAGCTATAAGTCCCCTAAGATGCGTTATAATTATAGTTACCCTACTTATAATTAACCCCACTTATAACTACCCATGAACCTCCAAATACAGGGTGCAGAAACTCGCGAGAGATGCAGCTCTGTCTGCTCAGGAGGAGCTCTTCGACAAAAGACTGACAGACTAGGGAATCGAAGCAAGAATCAGAAATCGTAAATCTCCCACTGTGTTCTTCCAGGCCCCAAAGACACACACACACACTGGTTTTTCACAATGCATGCAATTCCATTGCGTATTTCCAAACCCCCAAAACAGACACCGGTCTCCCCAATGCATAAAACCTCCAATGCGTCTTTTCTGCCAAACACCCCAAAACGTTCACAGGTTTGTACAATGCAAAGCCTCCACTGCATTCTTTCAAGCCCCCAGAACCCACACAGGTAAATGCACCAAACCTCCACTGCGTTCTTCCAGGGCCCCAGAATGCACACAGGTCCCCACAATGCACAAAATCTCGAGCCCCCTGCATTGCCCCCGAGCCCTACTAGTAAGAACGCTTCGTCAAGTGTCTATGGCTCCGTGCATCTATGGTGTCTCGAAGAACGCACGGCATGGTGCAAGACCCCTTGCTCAACTCCTTCGGTTCATGTAGCAAGCAGCGTAGGTAACCTGCGCTTACGATGGTGACGCGCTTGGCCAAGCATTCACCACTAAGACAACAACAACAACAACAACAACAACAACAACAACAACAACAACAACTTCGACGACGACTCAAGCCGCCATGTCCCCGGAACCAACCAACAACCTGCATGACTGTCACGGATGCTACACTAATTGGGTATTATCACGGCAAGAATGCAAGTTGTGGTCGGGTCAGCTGAGCAGGCTTCTAGTGACGAGCTCGTTGGTGACGCCGGCAGTGTGAAGATCATCCTCCATATCCTGCACTAAGTCACTACGTCATTTGCAAGGAGAAAGTGGGAAACTGTTATGCCTGGTAGAATCCTCGGCGTAGCCACCAAACCCTAAACCCCTCAATTATCAGACCGCTGAACCTTAAACCCTCAACTGCCACACCTAGGAAGTGCGCGGACCAACTGCAACCCTGGGCAGTGGCAAACATGGCATGTCGCCGTTCTATGCACATACTTATCCACGGCTTTCTTCAGGGAATCGTACATGCGTATCTAGAATATGTGTGCATGCACACACTCTTTCTGAACAGGCGCATGGGGACAGATGGTGCCCTGTCTGCATACAAGCATCTTTAAAATCTTGATATTTGGCTGTATGACAACAGGTTCTGAGCTGTTGAGCCTCATACAGACGTCCGAACAATTAGCAAACTAATTCCCGGATCTTTGAGATCCCTACCTTGCTTGAGTTCTGAGCTTCCTGGAGAACTCACCGCTTGACTCCCGTCCTCACTGAACCAAGCGAGCATCTCCATGTGGAATTACCAGGCCTGCACATCGAGTTCGGGCTTCGGGTTTCTCTTTAGGGTTCCTTTCTAGGGGGTACAGAATTGTTGGTTTAGGGTTCAGCGGTTAGGGTTCTCTTCAGGGTTCCTCTAGGGGTACAGGATTTAGGATATATAAGGCTTTTTGCTTCGGCTGTGGGGTTTAGAGTTTACATTTTACTGTAGGATCCTGGAACTGCCACCATCCTCCGGCCTGTCACATCTTAGCCTTAGCAACACTCCTGGCCAAGGCAGTTCTGCTCCTACTGCTCTTGGCTCTATGACCTAATTCTGGGGCCTTAATAATTAGAATAGGGTTTTGGGGCCCATGATACTATATCTATAATCAGGAACCCGAAGAATAATATTGGTAATAAACTAGGCCCCTATATTATGCCCTGCTTTGGCTTGCGGCACCAAGGTCAAACCTGCGTGGGCCGCGCACACTCTCTCAAAACCGGGCGAGGCTCTTGAACCACAGAAGGGTCATTCTAAGATGTGCAGGGAACACCCTAAGCCCTACACTACGCGCTCTCAAGCAAGCCCGAAACCCTAAACTCTAAAGCCTCAACATGCCTCAACCCCAAAACCCCGAAGCCAAAGAGATATCCTAAAACCGCGACGATAGCACTTAGCGGCCTACCAACATGGATTTTAGGGTTTCGGGTTGAGGGTTCTTCTAAGGTTCAGGGTTTGGGTATGCAAAGGACTAAAGAATCAGAAGTTGGAGTTTGGTCTACGGTTTAGGCTTCTGGTCAGGGGGCTTTCAACAATAAAACAACGTCCGAACCCGAAAGGGGTCACAGTTTGGGGGTTAGGGGCTTACCCTAAACCCTAAACTGTAGTTTGCCCTAGAACGACACCAAAGACCCTGAAAACTGCACCCAAAAATCCCAAGCCTCGCACCCAGAGGCCGCGAAACCTCTGTGGCAAGGTCAAAGAAACACCGGAGTTCCAAGCCACAGTCATTACAGATCCTCAACGGAAACCCACAGAATACCTACACACAAAGCTCTGGACAGGCCGGTGTAACCCCAGTACATAACATTGAAACGGCTTCGATCAACGTCGCGAAGCAAGGAACTACACCAGCTTCCTCAACCATGAGCCCAAAACCCTAGAGCCCTGAAAACCTCCAGCCTGAAACCCTAAACTCCATACCCCTTGTTGAAAGCCGAACGAACCCGCAAAGGAATCTTGAGAGGAACCCCTAAAAAGGGCCCCCTTTCTTGCCGCCTCGGCGTTGAACGCGGCCTCTTCACCGGATCTCAAAGCCAGGCTCCAAGCCAAAAAACGCAAAGGCGAAAGGGCCACAGCGCGTTAGGGGCTCCGTTAAGGGTATCAGAGGGTCCCGAAGTTCCTATAAGGCTTTTACAAGCCTATCAGGGCTCCTGTAAAGGTACTCCGGGGTCTTAGGGTGTTCGGGTCAGGCTCAGTATGGCTTCCTTCCTAGAGGCTCTATAAAGGACACTTGGAGTTTAGGGGTCTCTTTGGGGTTGCATCGCTCTTTCTCGGAGTTCTTCCGTCCGAGTTGAAGAAGATCTGGAGCTGGGGGCTGCCGCCAACAGGTGTAATGTAGGGGCCTTAATAGCTAGAATAAGGTTTTGGGGTCCTTTATAGTATAGTTATACTAAGGAACCCCCAAAAATAGGATAGGTGGTAATTATTAAGGCCCCTATAGTAGGGCTCAGGGTTCCAGGGGGGTTCAAAGGCTTCGAAGGCCTACCGGGTCTCGGAGTCTTATGATGGTTTGGGGAGAGCAGGCTTGGTGTTTCAGGGGTGCTGGTTGATTTCATGGCTTGGAGTTCGGGGTCTGTCTGGTGCTTCGGCAGTAGGAGCAACGGAACACACACATACTGCTCCTGATGGACACCTGTACCTTGGGGACCTCGGTGTACGAAATGAAACGACAGCTACGACATGGCTGATCGGAATGGCCGCAGTCTCATCAAGTGGCAATAGTCGCAAATGACAATGGCAGCTGCGTGGCCATACTCCCAAATGCGATGGGGTAGACTGCGTGTGCAGCCGGTATGGTGGTGTCTAAGAAAAACAGCTGCATCCAGCATGTAAGTCTTCTACCCGTGTCTGTTCCAGCTGACCTGTTACTAGGCCTGCTCAGAAGGGTTTCAGTAAACCTCCACGTGATAACGTCCCTCCGTCCTCATTGCCTTGTGAAGTTCACGCCAGTCCTGGCCGCGATCCCGAGCAGCAGAGGCAAGACAGTCAGAAAGGCTGGATTCCAGGCCCTTCACGCCACACGCATAGATGTGAGTGTTTGGCAGCTGCAGGAGTCGCCAGAGTTCGTCCATGTGTTGACCCATCTGCGTCTGTACATACTCCTTCTCCGCAGAATCACTGCCTTCACGGCTGATGGCGCAGTTGTACCTGAAGTTGTTCGGGAACTTCGCCCTGTAGGAATTGTGCTCATCGTGATAGAGCCGACACGATGCATAGCGAACCCCATAGAAAAGCCAAGCCAGGCCTGTAAACTTGCGGCTGGCGTCGGGATTGGCCGCCGAGACGTCATGAAAAAGCCGTCGCAGTTGTGATCGGATTGGTGCGATGCCTGTGCCTGTTGCCACCAGAATCAAGTTACAGCAGCTCTCCTCGGGCAGAAGCAGTTCGTTCCCCGTGGGGCCAGTGATCACCACCTTCTCCCCTACCTGCGCATCACAGAGGTAGTTGGAGCAGATCCCACCAACTTTGGCCTTGGGCCCTCCCAGACCACCGCCACCGCGGTGGTGGCGCTCCGAGACGTCCACGACGCGCTTCACGCAGAGCGACAGGGTCTTCGACCTTTGGTCGTCTCCGGACCTCAGGGCTTCGGGCCTTTGGGGAGGCTTCTTCACTGCAGTCCCGAGTCCCACCACAAACTGATTAAGAATTAAGATAGCTCCGATTTACTCCAGGGATCCTACCAGTGCTGCATCCTGCGAGTGCAAGTGCTTCAGTTTCGACCACACCTGGATGAAGCGATTGAGTAGAGCCGGAGCTTTGCCGGCCTCTCACCAGTCCTGCAAGAGGATCGAATAAGGTGAATAGGTAGCAATCGCTCTACTCAAACTGTTCCTGATGTTTATGCAGCCTTACTAAAACTTCCATCACCCCTAAAATCTAAATCCCGAACCCCAAACCTTGGATAACGTCAGTGTAGGCCGAAAGCCTTCATGATGAGGCTTCCTCGTGAGGACCAAACGGTAAACTCACGATCAACTGCCCGAACCCTGGCGCATGAGACTACCTCCTTTCAGCCGCCCTTCTCCTCAAAGAGCCCGATGCCCTTCAATTGAAACAATTGAGGCCCCTAGCCCTCAAACAACAAACTCAAAGCCTCAAAAAAGCCTTAAGACACTGAAGAGCAACTACCGATTTTCTGCAACCTACACCCTCAACACACAGAAAGTCCTGATTTTTCGGAAACCCTCCACCGTAGACTGTAGACCTACCCTAAACCCAACATAAACTAAACCCCCCAAAACCAGGTCGAAAGCCCGAGCTTTGCACTAAACCCTCCTAAGCCCCACGCTTTAAACCCTAAACCCTTGGTCCTCTCGGGACCCGGAGCGATGACGCCGATTGCCTGGCCCTCCAGGTACGGCACCTCCATTCTTCCCATTGGGTTTAGGGTTTAGGGGTCTGGGTTTAGGGCCGTTTAGGGACATAATATATATATATATACATATGCGGCTCGAGAAGGGCTACTATCTGGATGGTTGCTTCTTCTCCTGGTTTAGGGTGTTCGGGACCTTTTTCAGGGTGTTGAACTGCTTGGCATTTTGTGGGTCAGCGGTTTTACGGTTGATAAGGGAATTAGGATTTAGGCGTTCAGGGAGTGCTACTCGGGCTTTGCACGAGGTTTGATCGGGTTCTTAAACGGCTTGCTCAAAATAGGATAACTCCAAGGTAGGGCGGCCTTTAGGAATAGTTTTCACAGGGGGGGTTCATAGTGGTTGTTGCTTCGTGCTTCTAGGGTACAGGATTCGAGGCGCTTTCAGGGTGTATCAGACTCCATGTGAGGGTTGTTTGTTACAGGTTAGGGGTTTAGGGCTTAGGGCCCTTGGGGCTTTGTTGTCGGCTTCGAGTTTCGGGTTGTAGGGCCGAGGTTGAGGAGCTTCGGGCCTCCATGTGAGTCGGGCTTGGGGTAGATCCTGAAACATACACACACACATATATATATATATATATAGATATAGATAGATAGATATATATATAGAGAGAGAGAGAGAGTGTGTGTGTGTGTGTGTGTGTGTAAAGTGAATGTAGGGTTTGAACCCGCCCTGGCCACTCTCACGCTCTCGCAACACCGGGGCGGTGGTGTCTACAACTGCAATCGCCTTCTCCCGCCTGCCCGTGGTGGCTCAGCGTGATGTGGCATGTCCTCGGACGTCGACTTGCAAACATCTCTGGTGTAGGGGTTACGGTTTACGAGTCGTGTAGGAGTTTGGCTTCGGAGGTTTAGGGTTTGGAATTGACGCTTTAGGGGTTTGGATTAGCATTGGTGGGCTGTTGCGATCGTTTCAGTATATCCCTTTAGCTGGTCTCGTTACCGGTCTGGTCTGCAAAAACTCTTTGTTGCTGTAAGGGTTTTGATATTAGGATAATTATTGTGCTTCCTTTCTGCACAAGAAAGATTAAGCTGGGAAGCCTGAATCACTTACTCGAAATCCTCGCAAACACCTCGGATTGCTTTCTTCCTCCGGTCCGGTGGCGCCTCCACTGCTCCTGCCCACTTCTCAGGCACTCGCTAAAGCTTCGAGCTTTGGGTTAGGGTGTAAGATTTAGGATTCAGGCTTTGGGATTTAGCGTTTAGGGTTTAGGGCTCCACATGCAATATCACACCTTGTAAAGCCTGGATGCTGAGAAAACAACAACATGGACTCGCTCTTTGCAAGGGCCTTCGTGTCAGGCAACCTTCTCAGGCGGAGTGTTCATCCCAACTACCGCAACTACCATAAAACCAAAGCCCTACACCCTAAACCCTTTAAAAGCTGTGCCTCGAATATAGAAAAACCTGAAACCTAAGCCTCAATGACTCGGTGGTTCGAACCTTCTCTTGAATGCATCCTAACCAACAGCCCCAAACGCAAGAGCCCCCAACCAAAGCCTGAGCCCTTGAACACCAAAGTCTCAAGCCTGGGCGCCTACTGAACACAACTCGAAAAACTTATCCTACAAGATACGATAATACTATCAGGTACGATACGATACCATAAACAACTATGAAGCACCATATAGCATACTACACTATTATTAGGATAGGAACTTTACCAGACCCTCGGATCTTCTGCCTACGCCGCCAGCGTCGGCTTCTTGGGCTTTAGATAGAGCCGCCAGGCCTCAAGCACCTGCGAACTTTGAGGGAGTTTGAGGCTTTGGGTTTAGGGTTTTGGGGTTTAGGGTTTGGGGTTGGGGTTTAGGGTTTTAGGGTTAAGGTTTTAGGGTTTAAGGTTGGGGGTTTGGGGTTTTAGGGTTTCGGGGGTGTCGTTGCAGCGTAGGCGCGTATGTTGTTTCTTGTTGGTGAGGATTTGGGTTGGGGCAACGGTGTTTCAGGTCCGAGGTGGTGTTGGTTTTTGAAAGTCGTAGCAAAGCCGCCCACCTGAACCTGACGGCAAGCAAATCGCTGTCGCCCCCGTACGCAGAGGAGCACGCAGAAGGACAGGACCAGCAGAAGTAAGAACCATCCAAGGTTAAGCCAGAAACCTCAGATTTCAGCATCTAATGTTTAGCGTCGGAGGTTCAGGGTCCAGGGCCGGATTGCAGAGCAACGCTCCTAAAACCCTAAGCACAACCTCTGCTACATCCCTGTTGTATGGCTTCTCGCGACCACCCAAACTTTGAGTGGAGTCGGACTGCTACAAGGTTTACAGATTACGGAACTCTATGGGTTCTGGGTTTCCGGCCACTTTGCGAGGTTTCCGTTTGGGACCTAGGCTTTTGTAACAGCTAAAGCGCGAAGGGTCGAGAGTAGTCACCACCACCTATCCTCCTCCTCCCCTCCGACTGCGACTGTCACTGCCAGCGCGACTGCGATTGGGATTGGGACTGGGACTGCGACTCAGGCTAAGACTGCGATTACCACGGCCAATACCACCACTGCCCCCATCTACCTACTATCAGCGTGGCCATCCACACTGCGATGGCTTCTGCCAGCGTCTCTAAGCAGGTTTACGGATCGTGACGCTTCCCTGTCGTGGGGTAGCCCCTTCTGACAATTTTCTAAACCAAAATCATAGCCAAGAAGCAGGTGACGCTGTGCCGCAAATACTTGCAGTCATCGGATTCCACACCTTCTCAATGATCGCCGACTTCGTGACAGCACAGGAAAATCCGATTTTACGGTGTAGGGCGCACGTCCGATTTCAAGCTTCAGCCGAAGCTCCCAAGACTCCACAGAGTTACTGCTGACACTCTTGAACATTAGCCCAGTCCTTCCTGCTGCCTGTGCTTTCAGGCACGAGCTTCAGAAAATCAGGGAACCCCGAAAGTACGGTTGAAACCAAGCCCTAAATCCGTAAAACTTCCTCTGCTCCCTCCGAACACCTCTGACCCCCAAAAACACCCTACAAAATCCAGTCTCTGACCCCTAAACCCCAACCCCTACGCCCTAAACCCAAACCCCTAGGCCCTAAGCCCTAACCCCAAACCCTAGACCCTAAACCCTACACCCCAAACCCCTAACACCCAAACTCCAGAGACCTGTGGCCTCCCAGGTCGCACTGGAGGCAAATCGCGGAGGTCAGGAGTCGCCACCACCCGGGACCTGAGATTAGGGTTTAGGGTTCAGGGCTTTAGGGGTTTAGGGTTTAGGGTTTAGAAGAACCCTACCCTACAGTGCCCCTTAAAAGAGACCCTCTCAGAGAACCCTGCCCTGTAGTGCCCCTCAAAAGGGACCCTATGAGAGAACACGGCCCTATAGGACCTTTTGAAGGGGACCCTATAAGAGAATCCCCCTTTAACAGCTCCTTTCCGAGATCCGAAATTCGGGATCCTCTAGAGAGCCCTGTAGTACCCTCTAAGGAATCCCTTCCGAGGTTCCTTCCAAGGCTGTAGGCTTTAGGGTCCAGGGTTTAGGGATTAGAAGGTTCAGAGCTGATACAACAACCCGTCGGCCTTTTCGACTCCAAACTGTGCCAGGTTTGGAGCTTAGAGCTTTAGGGCTTCAGGGCTTTGGATTTAGGGCTAAAGGAAAAACCAACACAAGCCAAGGGGCCCTCGTAGATTTTGAGGTCGTGGCTGGATCCGACCCGGATGCCAATCCACCATCCCTCCATCAAACTTGCAGACTCCTCATGAAACAACTATCAGCGTCTTCATCATGTCGCCTACACCGTCATTTGCAGCACATTTACATCATTTCCGAGTCGCTGTTACCTTCGGCAACTTTAGCACTGTTTGCTGTGCCAGGGGCTGTCGGGGGTTCGTGGGGGCGGTGTCCGCGGTGGCGGTGGATGTTTCGCAGTCGTGGTCATGGAGTGGTAGTGCTGGTGGTGCTGAGGTGGTGCTTCCGGCGGTGGTTGCTGCTGTTGCGCTGCTGCTGCAACTGCTGCTGTTGTCGCTGTTGCTGTTGCCGATGCGGTTGCGATTGCGGTGGCTGCTGCTGCTGCTGCTGCTGCTGCTGCTGCTGCTGCTGCTGCTGCTGCTGCTGCTGCTGCTGCTGCTGCTGCTGCT